ACTGCTCTGCGGACACTGAGTCATTCATCTCACGCTCGGTTTTAAAAATGGCACAGAAGTGTGGCTGTGCACGGCGAGTATCTGGAGAGATGAGCAGCGTTAGGTGTCAGTGTTGTGATAATACGCCTTCGGTGTTGCCATCCGTCCAAGAAATTGGATAGGACACCCTCTGTTCTTCCACCGATCTGGCATAGAGTGTTTTTTGGCTCTGCTCTTTTGCAGTGCAAGTGAATGGACGGGCCTCTTGTTATTCAGCGACACAACTCAGCCGTTAAAAGGATTTCAGGTGGAAGGATGGCCGCTTTTAGCTGAAGAATAAAAACCCACACAGGGGTTTTTAAGCAAATGTGACAATTTAGGAGCCTTTAGAAGGAGCTGAAAAGTGCCACTGAAGCGTTTGTACTTCTTTTATTTCCTCTTCAGTAGAAGCGCTAACAGGTGCGTTCGTAAGTTTCTAGCGATATTTTTTCAATTATTTCTGAAATTATTTCTGAAATTCCTCGAAAGCACACACAAACTTACCTTGAGCTACCCCTGGGCTTTATCTCCCTCTGCTGACTAATGCGGCCGCCTCTCGCTGGGGGAAACAATAACACACAATGCAGGGAAGCAGCTCCCAGATTATTTCCTTCCCTTAATAAGGCCGTGGCTACTACAGAATAGGAGACAGGAGAGTCCTTTTTGCACCCTGGGGAGCAGCACTGTGTGAGAAGATCCTGTGCGTTTGGAGCCAACACCTGCCCTGTAGACACCCACCAACTCCTGCTTCAGTTCCCAGTCTACCTCCCACTGATTATCAGCCTTCACTGATTTCCACAGCTGTGGACACAATGCTTTGTATGAAAGATTTAATGCTGACACTCAGGCATCTAGGAAATGCTTGCAATGTGATATAATTGTCTGTCTGTGGTTCTGGGAGGAGTGCACAGAGTACTTTATTGCTGCGAGTGTTTTTACACAATCAAGAATGGTTTGCCTGGATTAGAGCAGGAACAAAAAAAAAAAAACCTGACAGAAAAAGTGGCTTTTGTCAGCTTGAGTGTCTTTTTCACACTTTTTTTTCTGACAGGAAAAAAGTGAAAACTATCGTAATGTTCCTAGAAAGTTTAAAGCCACTTTTCCCTTTTCCGTTGTTTTTTTTCTTGCTCAGGTTGTTGGATGCATCATCAAAGTGGAAATGTGTGTTATTTCCACTGGACCTCAGGTGTCAGCAGAGCGACAGCGCGACACGTGTCAGCGCTTTTACAATCCAAAATACAATGAGTCATTTTGGATAATAGCTTACTGTAATATTTTATTATTCCCTTTAGGGGATTCTGGGAGCTGGCAGAGATGAAGGGTCTTGTTTAAAGCTACTTCTGATGTGCGGTTCAAGGGCAGTTCCCCCGGACCACGAGGCCTCTCGGAGGAACCTCGGTCCCTAATGTCTTCCTCAGCCAGGAGCTTCTACTCAGAACGCTGTCATTGATCATGACCACGTTGCTGTGGACAGCATGGGACACCGTCCAACACACCCAGCGTTCCCTCGCATTGTTCTCGCCAAGAACTTTCAACCACATCAAAGAGCTCGACGTCCATCAGCGATGCCTCTCACAGAGACAGGATTTCTTGGAGAAGCTGGTGAGCATGGGAAGGGAAAGACGGGTGTTTTCTCATTTCCCTGCAGGCAGAATCGTCTCTCTGCATGTCGGAAGCAGTAAGTGGACTCCAGCAGACAAACACAGATTTCTATCACTTTCCATAGATGTAATAAATCCAATAAAATTTTATGTTCTGTGGCTTTTTTTCCTTTAAACCACATGTCTTTACAAATTAAAGACAGAACACAGCAGCCACGGAGATCAATCTGTGGTCAGCCTCGGTGCTGTTGGACGGTCAGTTCTCCTGATGCTTTAAATCATCATATTTTAAATGCTCAAGACACAACGTGATCGTAGTGAGTCCAGAGGGGAAGCCACAGCCCTGTCCAAACATGAGCAGGCTGCTAAGTTTAATCTGCATTCTGGCTGACATTTCTGACCGTCTCCATCCAGTTCATCCTTCCTCCTCTGGGACAGCATTCTTCTGTACGTGCAGCGTTCGGGTGAGGTTTCCAACTTTGTCTCTTCCTTTTTTTTGTAGTGTGGTTCATACGCAGAATAAAACATGAATAAACGTCCATGAATATCTTTTTAAATGCAAAATCTTTGATGATGCACATTACCACACGTCACAGAGCTTCTTGATTCCTCCTTTTGTCCGTTGACTGCTAAGTTCCACTTCCTGGTTCACGTGGATCGTCGGTGCACTGGCAGCAGCACACCCTTCGGTTTTCCCCCTCATAGGAAAAAGAGAAACCGTTCACGGGCTGAGCCTCCTGGTCACGTAACTTTCTATTGTATTGTATTGTATCTTGAATTCTGCAAACATCTCAGCTCATGCACATCTGCATCCCAATTCCTTGTATTGTGTTTTAATCAGCAGACCGACGTCCCTTCAGACCGGAGGTGTTAACGCAGCCTTAAACAGTTAAACTTCTAATCTAGTTTATGCATTCATTAGCCTCTGCTGTGTTATTAGGATACAGATTAAAAAAACATTTAAAAGGCAGAAAAAACAGACACCAGCAAAGTGATAAAGTAATTATTGTGGTAATCGTGTAAAAGATGAAGAGGAGGCATGAAGAAAATGATTAGTTTAATACATAGAAAGTCTCCAAATGCATTCTAATTTCACATATTCAAATGATGATTCATTCGGTTTATTCATTCTGCTTTATGAAAGCTGTTCAGGCGAAGTCCAATTTTGTAAAATGAGAACCTCCAGATTGATTTTTATCGCCACGTGAGGAAGAAAACACGATAAAGAAGCACACGAGGCAGTAAATGAAACTAACAAGAGCGTTAGCCTGTGATGCAGAGTCGAGGTCAATCTGCAAAAGAACAAAATAATAAATAATAAAGATAAAACACACCTACTGTAAATCTCTGCAGGCTTTCGTCAAGCACAATGGAGTAGAGCTGCATGCTAAAAATATTCCCCTACAACCTTCAATCATGCATTCTGGAGTTTGAACAAACAGCTTGTAATTCACTCGTGTTTACGTTGAGCAGTCAACAAGGTGCCACGCGATTTACTGCACGTTCATTTATTAGCACATGTAGCGCACACAGGCCTCCGTCGGCGTAATCATCTGTTCTTATATATCCTTGACTAGCCTCTCCGGTCTGCCATTGTTCCTGCTGCATGTTCCCTGGTCCTGCCGTATAGCGCTTTCATGTTTCCCCCAGTTTTCAGTTTCCTCTGCTTCTGCTGCCCGACGCTCAGTGACGTGTCTTTTGTTCGCTCGCTTCTCAGAGTTTTGTCTGCTGGTGCCAGCGCTGAAAAGACTTCTGTGTCCTTGAACCCAGCTTTAGGCAAAGGGTGCAGCATGTTCTTCATCATCAGAAGGGTTCTCCTCATCGTTTAGCTCCTGTGAGGCTTTAAACCTGTGATCTGTCTGCATGTCTGGGTTTTCAGGAGAATTATTTATTTTATTGTGAAGTTATTTCTACATTCAGTCCTGCAGAAGGTGAATGATCACATGTTGCAGCCCTTTTTCAAACCTGCACTGATCTCTAAACTTCTATTCAGTGTAATCAATGAGGAAAACAGAAACTTTTCCCACTTTATGTAACATCAGGTCTGATCATCTGCTTGACTCACGACTCTTCCACATACGTGATGCGACAGAGCTGAGGTCAGAAAAACTTTCTAAAAGCTCACGGTGGCATTTTTATTCCTGTAATGACGTTTGTGGAGTTCTCTGACCTCTGCAGTTCCTCTTTAACTATAAAAAGCAGCGACGATGATGCAGTAGAAATGTGATGAGCTCTGCTTTTTACAAATGCCAGTGACCGACTTGCACGACCACAAATATCGGTATTGATCAGCCCTGGTGATGTTGACCACTTTAACAGAACAAGTTGGGCAAAAGTCAGGCTCCAAGATGCAACACCGAACCAAAACTTCAAAAAGTGCTCCTTTATATAATATTGATTATTCAGGACGGAATCAGCTAAAAAGGGAATTTTGTGGCTTCTTCTTGCTGTAATCAGGCTCTAATTGCTACACGACAACATTTTGTTTTCAACTTGGAAACCACACAGAGAATAAATTTATGGAGCTTTTATACTGGGTGGGACTCCAGACGGAGCTTCTCTGTGAAATTAAAAAATGTTTGAGGACACGTCCTAGATCACTGCAACCGCTGCCTTTCAACTGCTTCAGATGTTGCTGTGAAGTGTTGTCCACGCACACAGAGCCTGTGTGTGGAGTCATTTGTGTTGCACAATGCCTCGCCCGCGGGCATGTGTGGTATAATGAGGCCTACTATATGATAAGGAAGTCAGCTTTATTGTCATTATTTCTGGACCCTAATTGGTTGTCTCGCAGGACACAGTCTAATTTAGTTTCATTGTCTCCCTTCGCAGTATGAAAACAGATGGCCTCACACGCCCATGAACACACCCACACCTTCTCTCCTGTGAAATGATGTGCCGTACATACAGTAAAGGCAATCCGACTTCCTGATCACACAGATGTATGTCCACGTTTTCTCTCTTAGGAATCACATAGCTGATGTAGACACAGAAAGCTGACTTTATGCTCACCAAAAACAAAAAGGCATTTTTGTTATCTAGCCAAGCCTCTGTGAGGTTTTGCAAGAAGGGAGTTTCCACCACAACGTGTCACCTCTCATGACAGCACCCTCGTGTCCACACCACTGGTAACGGACGTTCTGCTGCTGTCACAAAGCTTTGATTTCAAGGAACTTTATTTGTCAGGCCGGTTCACGTTCACGTGTATGTGGTACGAAATTAGTACTCAGGTCCTGGTCTTTAAGAAAAAGTTAATTAGTACAATAGAACAAGAGCAAAATATAAGTAAACATACAGCAATACAAGCATCACGGTTCAGGTTTGGACCCAAGTGCAGACACACAGCAGACAGGAACAGATCAAGGTGGAAGTTTGTTTAATAAATGAATAAAACAAGCGAAACACAAGCGAGTGTGGAAGTGAACTGAACTCTATGGAAACTGAACCAGGAATTTCTGATATAACAAAACTGGAAAAACTCAAAAAAATACAAAGAAAACTCAACAAATTGGAGAAAAATACAGAATAACTGTACTGGAAAACAGAAACACTCACAGAAACCAGAACTAAAACTACAGCGGGGGGAAAGGGAGGCAGGCTGGGGCAAAACAGGATGGAGGCAGGTCGGAGTCCGGTGGCAGGAGAACGCTGGCTGGGGGAACACAGGCTGAAGACAAGTCGACAGGCCGCCGTGAACCTGGAAAATGGGATGACGACCTGGCGCAGGGTGGAGGGAAGAGCTTTATGGGAAGGAGGTGATTGGGAACAGGTGAGTCCAGAGCTGTGGGTGATTGTGGTTGATTGAGGGCTGAGAGGCACAGAGACAGACAGATATACATATATATATATATATATATATATATATATATATAAAGCCCAAATCAGTTATGTTTACCACTAATTATTTGTACGACTCCACATTGGACAAAACAAACAAACAAACAAAAGAAAAAGATTCGCCGTCAGTGTAAACTTAGATGGTTTCCTCAGCTTGGTGTCACTGTTGTGGCTCAATGTGGGAATCAAACTGTTCAGTCGGACATCAACTGGATTGTTTAACATTCTGGCCAGAAACCCAGACGGAGGAATCGGATCCGGTGCTGTTGACTCACCCGGTGAAACAGTGTTGACTTGTTCAGGCGTTTTGTTCATTGAGACGTAATGAGGTTCAACCGCCATCTGGAAATGTGACACGCTGCAATCTGATTTGATTTGATTTGATTTACTCGACAATCTTTATAAAGAGAACAAATCTTACCCCAGATGACACTTATTAAACCAGCAGTGTGGAACTTCTGTCGCCCCCTTCTGGCGACGTTGAAGCATTATGACGTCTGCCTCGCCCTGGATTGATCCCTGCTTCACTCCAAACATCTCACAAATTCTGTTTTCCAGTCGTCTGTTCCCACATGGCTGCCTGCTAACTTCTCCAGTCACTGCTGCTCAACATGTACCAGCGCAGAGATGACAAAACAGAAACTAGATTTAAATACAGAGGGATTCACCAGTCGCTGATCGGATCAATATCTGTATGGGTGAACCACATCGAGCGTGTTTGATGAATGGGAAGCAACCAGTGGAGTTGTGTAATCGCTGCAGGATAGTTTTATCCTGACTCATTCGGGACAGCGAACAACTCCTATTCCTTATCTCAAGCACTCACCGAGAAGGTTTAAATGAGAAAATGTTGTGATAATATATTATACATCACTGCTGAGATTTACTGCACACGGTATATGGAGAATCCCACTTTGGCAAAAGGGAGGCATCTCTAAATTTACAGCCTAATAACTTATCCATATACAAACCAGTGCCTCCCGGTGAACCTTCTTGCTGTGTGGATTTTGTCAAGGCGTCATAAATAACCCGTTTGGAACACAAAGATCACACTGATAACATTTTCTTTTTATTGCAAGCAAACTTCACAAGAGTTCGCTTGCTATAAAAGCATCGTGGCATCTGATGAAACATGAAGTGTGTTTTAGAAAGGACGCATGGAGTTGTCCATCACTGGGCTGTTTGAACGGCAAAGTGCAGAACTGGTGGAACTGGGTCAGGTTTGTTGGTCTCCTTGCTCCACTGATGTTCTCCAGGATGGAGATCAGGGCTTTGTGATGGCCACTCCACAACACGGACTCTGTTGTCCTGAAGCCTCTCTGTAGCTAATCTGGCGCTATGCTGAGGGTCATCGTCCATCTGAAGACCCATTAGTGTCCAAGCTGTAACTTCCTGCTGATGTCTGGAGATGTTGCTTCAGTATCTCCACATCATGTTCTCTCCTCATGATGCCATCTATTGTGTGAAGGTCACCAGTCCCTCCACAGCATGATGCTGCCACCCCCGTGCTCCACAGCTGGGATGGTGTTCTCAGGCTTCAAGCTTCCTCCTTTCTCCTCCAGATGGTCATTAAGGCCAAACAGTTCAGGTTTAGTTCCATCAGACCACAGGACATGTCTCCACTGATGAAGCTCTTTGTTCCTGTGTGCATCTACAAACTGTAATCTGTCTTTTCTATGGTTCTTCTGGAGTGATGTCTTCTTCCTCTCTGAGGAGCCTTCCAGTCCATGTCGGTACAGGACTGGTTCCACTGTGGATAATGACTCTCTGACCAGCTTCAGCAGCATCTTCACAAGGTCTTCAGCTTCTGTTCTGGGGTTGATTCACACATTTCAACCAGAACACTTCATCTCTGGGACACAGAACCGTCTCCTTCCTGAGCCTGTGATGGCTGGACATTCCCACGGTGGTTCTACTGATAGAACTGTCTGAACAGATGAACGTGGACCAGAGGATGGACCAGACTGGTGGAGGTCCACAGTTCTCCTACTGATATCTTGGCTGATTTCTTTAGATTTTCCACATTGTCACAAAAGGAAGCAGTGTGTTTGAGGTGTGCCTTAAAATACATCCACAGATGTGCCTCCAATTAACTCACATGTGTTAATTAGCCAATCAGAAGCTTCCAAAGCCATGACATCATCATCAAATAGTTTGAAGGCATCTTAGTGGATGTAAACTTCTGACTTTGAAGAAAGTAATAAACAATTCTCTCTCTCATTATTCTGGTGTTTAGCAAATAGAAATAATGTTGGTGATCCTGACTGACCTGAAACAGGAAAAGTTTCGTCTGATTTAATGTCAGACGGTGGGAATAAAAAAGTTTTATGTCTTTTTTTTTTATACAGTGAATGTAAATTTCTGGCCTTAACTGTATATAATGTACTTTTTATTGTAATGTGGCAAATGAATGTGTTTACAATAAAAGGCGTCGCTTAGTGATGTATTTACATTGTTGTATCAGTAAAAAGATGAATATTTCTTGCAACTAACACAAAACGGCATTGACAACGATAAAAAAAAAAAAGTTCTTCGAGGACAGTAAGCACATGTTTTAGACGTTTCTCCAGAGTGTTGCAGGAAGTAGTGCTTTATCTCTGCAGGAGAACACGCTTTGACCTTAAAGAAAAAACACCCTTACACCTAATAAAGCTCAGAGGGAACTTTACCCACCGTGCTTTGCTTTTGTATCATGAAGATCTGCTTTAATCTTCTATCCAGCTGCATTTGTTGACTCCATTCCTCTGGCTGTGGTAGCGTCACAGTTTATGTTCTGGCCTTTGTCTCCGGCCCACAGAAAAGCTTCAACCACCCATTCCTGCGAGATTTATTATGGATTCCACATAATTCCGATCCCAAATGCAGTTCTCTATTCCCGTCAACCTTCCAGCTGCAAAGAAACACGTCTTTTTAGCACGAACAGGCGGGCGAGTTTAGCAGCTAACTAACAGCTGTTTACTCCAGGAGTTAGTGGAGCTCAAAACCTGACTGTGGTGAAGTGAAGAAAACAAGCCGGACGGCCCAGAGGATGGAGAGCAAACCGGTGGCTGTGGTTCGTTGAGGTAGGGACAGATCAGCTCATGGGGAACAGGGTCTGGAGGAAAACTAAATATCTGGCAGGGATTATTTACTCCAGATATCTCCTGAACCTGGGAGAGACCCTGAATGACCACCAAGCAGTCAAAGACAGCTGACAGTGTTGTCCTACATGCTGGGTGGAAGCCAAGGATGAGCTGCTGAGAGGACAGAGTCCGTCCTAATCAGCAGGCGCTCCACAGTTTTTTTGTTTTTTCTAAACATGTTTTGGAAGTTAATGTTACCCCAGAGCGTCCAGGAAGGCAGCTCACCATAAAGACCCAATAAAGTGCCATGTTAAAAGGTTTTTATAGAGAGACACATTCATCGTATGGGACGCTGTTTTTCTACCGCGTGTGAAGTCGTCGTAAAATCGTCTCGTATTTTTGGTCCATAAATGTTTTACAAAGTGTAAAGAGCAGCTATTGTGTCACCTGGAATATCCTGACGACAAAAGTTAAATATTAGCGTCATGTTCATTCGTAATTAGTTTATTTCTTTACTCCTCAACTTTTACCTAATTTTTAGTTTTTATTTTCCTGATGACTGCACACAGAGGGCCAGGATTCACCGGATGTCTTGTTTACAAACTTTGCCAATAAAGTTGATTCTGATTCTCTTCAAAACACACAATAAGCGAAGTTGTTGTTAATGATTGTTTATGGATGATGCATTATTGTTGTCATGTGGTGAACGTCTGACTTTGTGACAGCAGTAATGTGGGTAATGAGTTCATCAAGCTGTTTGGTTTTCAAACGCAGCTCCCATCGTGTCAGTTTTGTGCGTTTACGAATCCACTAATCAATTTCACGGTTTTCCGGTTCGCGCCAAAACAACGACCGAGCCGTTCCTCCGCGCCGCCGCCGTAACGAGGTTTGTCGGCGACGTCTCCTTGGTGATCTCGCCAAAAGACATGCCTTCGACGTGATGCGGCCTCTGAAGCGGGAAGAAGTCTATAATGTTGTTGTCATGGCATCGCAGACCCCCGACTAAGCCTTTCAAAAAATGTTTTTGTATCGGTTTTGTAGGCGCGGGGGGACGGAGGCGAGGGCTTTTACAATAGTCATAAATAGGCAAAGAGCCAGGAGCTGCTGCGAACAATCGAGGGGAACTCATCCCCCTAATAAAAGCCCCCCGAGTGAGAGCGAGTCTGAGGCAGGAGGGCACACGGAGGGAAAGCGTGGGATGGAAACAAGATTCAGCGTATCTCTAAGAAGCATCTTTCCAAAAATAGAGAGATGAGATCTTAACAATTTACTACCTCGAGTACGAAACCCCTTCAAAGACTAATTGCTTGAACGTATACGAACCTCAGATCCACAGATAACACACTTTGATGTTGCTGCTGGGGAAAAAAAAAGTCGTTTTAAGACCTTCCACTGGCAGAAATAAAGGAAATGGATCCACAGTGCAGGCGTTAGGCCGAGTCACAACAACACGAGTGCATTATTTATCCACTGAGCCATTCAGTCGATTCTATCTGCTCTGCCGGGCTTCAGGGATTCACACGCTGAAACAAATCAAAGGTGTGGCGGCAAACCCACCGCTGTTCCTCCGCCACGAGACACGCGCAGAATCAGAGGATATCCTATGATGGCTGTTGCGAAAATAAACAGTTTTACCTTATAACTCGCTAATTGCGTTCCCACTGTGGAAGTCAGATAAGCAACAAAAAAAAATCATTAAAGCAACATTAGTCGCTTCTGTTCCTGAGCGACCACGCCGGCCGGCCGGTACACCTTGGACATTTTATAAACAAATAGAAGTGACGCAGGGGAAGCAGGAAGTTTCTGGAATGCCATAATTCACCTGTCCTCTCCAACAATATCTGGACATTTGCCGGATTGTTGTTGTTGAGATCCATCATCAAGAAAACAAATTTAAGATCTTTAAAAATACCCCCATGAGTCGCCCCTGGAGGAATTTGTTGATCCTTTTTTTTAATATATTCTGATGCTCCAATCCCCAACAATGACAATAATGAGAATAGGCTAATTTAGGCCATGCCTTCTTATTTTGCAGTGGTTTCTGCTCGTTACGTAACGGCAGCCTGCTCCACGGTGCACTGACCCAGAGTCGCTGTGCAGCCGGAGTCTCATGACTGTGATTTGCCAGTTAATGCTTCTGTCTCCGGGGATTGAATGGAAGCCTTTGAAGGAATCCGTTCACCGGTGATGATTCCAGAGTGTGTGTTTTCTTTACAGACACACTGTAAAGAATCTCAGCCCTGGCAAATTATTTAATTGGCCTTTTGTTTCTTTCTGCTTTTGCTATCAAAGATTCCTCATTGTGACGAAACACGTCTCCGATTCCTGGAAATCTGACGACGATTATCAGATGTTTTTTTTTTTTTTGTTGCCATAACAAAATGATGAATCGTTTGATGGAAACGCGTCGTCGTGTTTTTTGATGCAGCTGACAATGTTTAGAACAAAATACCTCGTAACCAAACTGTAATTAGATAACTTTGAGCAATTAGTAAAATGAGTTCCTGACTGTCACAGGCGGTTTCACGGGTCACCGGATTTTTGTGCCATCTTTGCTCCTCAACCTTTAATCCTGCGGTCTGTTTGTTCAACCAGCAGCCGACGGCATTCCCCACAAAC